AGAAGCGGGCCATAGGCCATGAGACCCCGAATGAACCCCCGATTTTTCGTCTCTCATCACCAACCCATATGGGTAACTACGCCTTTTTGTTGATCCGAATCGTGGCACCGAACCCAATCCCCCGGTCCGCCGCGCCATAGTCCGGGGCCAGCGCCACCGACAACACCGGCTGCCTCGAGTGCTCCGTGACCCAGGGTTCCATGCCGGGGCCTGAGCCGCAAGATGCCGCCAGCGAGGGGTCGCCCAAAGGCTACCACCCCACGTCAAGCAGAGAGCAGATGGACAATTCGGAGGGCGCCCTTCAAGCGACTGAAAACGCAGAGCTTGCGGAGACGACCACTCGCCTCCGGTTCATGTTGTCATGGACAATTTGCAGGGCAACGGTCCAAACTCAAACCACCCGACTGGAAAGAATGGCTCGACCATGCGCTGGCTCGTTTTGGTCTGCCACTTTCCGAGGTAGCAAACCAAGCTAATTGGACTCACGGAAATGGGTTGGGAAGCCGGGAACAAGAAAGCTCCATGGGGGTCAGCAGGTCACTTAGTGCAGCAAAAAATCCGTCACTTAGTGCAGTCAGAACCCAAGTGTTAAACAGGTCACTTAGTGCAGCAAAAAACCCGTCACTTAGTGCAGTCAGAACCCAGGTGTTAAACCGGTCAGTTCAATAAAATCAACGGGCCCAACGCGCTCCATGGGCTCAACACGCCCAACGCGCTCAATGGGCCCAACAGACTCAACAGGCCCAAGCTCCCAACGGGCTCAACACGCCCAACGCGCTCAATGGGCCCAACGAACTCAACGGGCCCAACGCGCCCAACAGGCCCAACAGGCCCAATGGGCCCGACGGGCCCGACGAGCCCAACGGGCTCAGCGGGCCTACGTTTGCGCTACATTACATTACATACATACACTACATACATCGCATTACCCACTTAACGTAACATAACAAAACATATAACAAACATAACATAACATACACACATTACAAACATACATACATGCATACACAAATTACACATATTACATATATTAAACACATACACACATACACACACACACACACATACATACATACATACATACATACATACATACATACATACATACATACATACATACATTACATTACATTACATTACATTACATTACATACATACATATATATATTATATACATACATACATAACCTACATACTTACGTACATAGCATACATAACATACATAACGTACATACAGGCATACATCACATTGCACTACATTACGTCACATTACATTACATTACAAAACATACATAACACTACACACATAATAACATAGCATAACAAAACATAACATAACATAGCGCAGCGTAAAAAAGCATAACATAACATAACATACATATATACATGAAGTTTACCCCATATTCATTGTTCCAAAAAAAGTCTTCCGCCTCGCCCTTCCGCGAACCTTCCGCGAACTTCCGCGATGCAGGTATAGCCACACTTTTTGGCACGTGTCTAAACACATGTAAGTTCTTGTAAAGGAAAAGTAAAGCGAGCCAAGACGAAGAGCCAGAGCAGGGGACATAACATGACAAAACATACATACATACATACACGTACACACACATACATACATTACATACATACTCACATAACATACATACATACGTACATACAAAAATTACACATATTACATATATTAAACACATACACACATACACACATACATACATACATACATACATACATACATACATACATACATACATACACACATACATGAATGCATGCATGCATACAAACATACATACATACATACACATATCATATACGTACATAAATACATACATACATACATACATACATACATACACAACACAACACAACGCAACACAACACAACACAACACAACGCAACACAACATACATACATACGTACGTACGTACGTACGTACATACATACATACATACATACATACATACATTACACACATACATACATACATACATACATACAACATACATACTTACGTACATTGCATACATAACATACACAACACACATGCACGCATACATCACATTACATTTCAAAACATACATAACACTACACAGCATAAATGTGCACATAACATAACACAGCACAAAATAGCATACATAACACAACATACATATATTCGTGAGCCTTGTTCCAAAAACAGTCTTCCGCCTCGCCCTTCCGCGAACCTTCCGCGAGCCTTCCGCGAACCTCCGAGATGCAGGTAAAACCACACTTTTGGCACGTGTCTAAACACATGTAAGTTCTTGTAAAGAAAAGTAAAGCGAGCCAAGACGAGCCAGAGCAGGGGGCTCAGCGGTCCGAACGGGCAGGCCCCACGGGCCCAACGGGCACAGCGGGCTCAACGGTCCCAACGGGCCCAGCGGTCCCAACAGCCCAACAGGCCCGACGGGCTCAACGGGCCACACGGGCTCAACGGGCCCGTGAAGGTGAAAGTGACTGCCGCACTAAGCGACAGGATTTGCGCCGCACTAAGCGACAGCATTTGGACCGCACTGAGCGACCGCCTGACCTCCATGGGTCTCTTGGTTGAAGGGGGAAACCAAAAAAGGCCACTTCTGATGATATGCCGTTGGAAAAAGCGGATATCCGCACATCCGACATCTGCACCCCTACCCTCCAAATCGCCCGAATCACCCGGTTTTCGAGGACGTGACTGTGCCATCTGGAGACTTGCAATCCATCCGGGCGCCCGCGCTGAGGGCCCAAACGGTGATGCGCCCATCGCCCGCGCCGCTGACGCAGAACCGGCCCTCCACATCTAGATCGATGGCCTGGGACAGCGACCTACACCATATATCAATAAATTATACGTCTCAAGATGAAACCCAGAGGATTTGTAATGGAAAATGGTTTTTGCAGGCCCTCACTGGTTCCAAGGTAGTGGACCAAAGGGCGGGATATGTTTTTCTATATAGATATATACGAACATGGAAGTGCAGCGGGGTTGGGTGACCCCATACTCGTTCAGATGCCGACATGATTATCCCTTTGTTACAAGCCTTCTATGACAGGCTTATTAGAACCTGTTCAATGGGCTAGTCCTGCAAATCCCTCCTGGGCACTGAAAGGACAGCTTTAGCTTGAAAGAATGACCGAGACGGATGTGCAGCCAAAGATCGTGGATACAGGCATTGTTCGTCGAGATCTTCCTGAGCTAATCTTCAGAGCGACCAACGCCTGTGCAAATGCCCCAAGGGGGCCGGTCCGACCCTCTATCCCTTCTGACCCCAAAACTTAAACAAAGGCAAAAACGCTCTTGGGGTTTGGAAAAAACGGGTCCCAAATGCCCAAATGCAGGCGGGCCACCGAATGTTGCTGGCCTCGGCTTCAAGATCTGCAGAATGCGGCGGGTAAGCAAAGAGGCCACAAAGATAATAGCTTGCCAACATTTGTATACACATCTATCTGCACTATATTCTACATTTATGGTGATAAATAATCATATATGTTGACTGATTCCCGCCACCGACATTGTGCATGAGCATGTTCAGCGTGTTCAGAAACTCCACCATCCGCATTCTGCTTGCCGCCCTTCCCGCTCTTCCCGAAACGGCCATGACTACAGCGAGCCGCACCGTGGTCTACCGTGAAGATGCTGCCCAGTCGGGTGCCCAGCGCGGACACGTGGCTGCCCACGGCGAGGGCGGTGATCTGCGAAGCGCTTGCTTGCGCGCACCATGGAACCAAGACAGGCCCACTACGCCTGCAAACTAGCATGGACGCCCCCTTTAAAACAAGCGAACAAAATTTCCTCCTGGTGCTACATAATAAGAGCTCTTGGAAAGCAAACAACTTATACAACACACACGTACACACCCCGGCCTCCTGTTGCACAAATTTAGAAGCATGTGCTATATTCAGCACCCAAACATATTAGATGACGGTTGCTTAAGTCAGGTGCGAACAAGTTGATTGGGGGCACAGGGGACGCTCTCTTCGCAGCCACTGGCCAGAAACTTGCGCACGCACTCCCTCGCTTGCGGTAACAGCTCTGGATACCCCTGAAAAAGCAGCAAAGTTGCAGCATGAGCGCAATAAAAACTGCAAGCAGGGCGGCCACGCGCGATGGGGCTGAGCAACTCGGGCAATGCTTCCCCGGGGCTGGACCCAAAAGTCAGCCAAGACAGCAAAAAAAGGCTGCGAGCAACTCGCTTCGAACCTCATCATTGGGGTCAGCCGCTTCGGTAAGCACCTCAGCTAGCCCAACACAAAAAGGCGACGAGTTGTGAACCGCTGCAGCTTGACCTTGGCGGCCAACCTCTCGTTGTCAATTTGGGGCCTGTTGTTTCTTCAGGGTACCCTTTTCAGCTTGGCTTAAAGAGAGACCAAAAGAAAACGCCACGACGTTTATGGGCGATATTTACAGCTATCCATACATCGGTGGTCCACCCCTGTCCTTTAAATGCCCCACCCCCAGCTGTCATTTTGATAGATATCCAATGGACATGGGTCAAAGTCCCGCACCGCACGAAAATAAACTAAAATGGGTGGTGCACCTACCCCAAATGCTACCATTGGTTTTAACCCACAGCCAAATGAAGAGAAGGCACGCGATTGAGGCCCCGAAACTCTATCAGGGGCTTGCTGCGCGGCTCCATGGCATGGCGCCCACCCGGCGCATCGGATGCGTCCGTGTGTCCTTTTTGAGGCTGCCGGTTTTGGATGTGGTCCCAAGGGAAACCAAAAGGCACCGGATATTTTTTGGGCCCCTCCCTATTTTGAGACATATCCATGTTAGACTGCCGACTGCGTGGGCTCTGTCCACCCTCTTTTCTGGGCCGGCGTGTCATAATGTGTGTCCAAACAGCCTCGATACCTCGCACCTCCAGTGGTGGCATCGTCCTGGCTCAGCCAACGGCTACAAAAAAACAGGCAGCCACATGCGATCACACCACCATACAACCAGCAAGCCAACCAGCCACAATCGCAACTGGAAACCCTGAAATATCTGGGGTACCGGCAGACAGCACCTGGTTGCCGTCCGTGTCATAGCGACTCCAAACCTTTCGCAGCCTCAGGACAAGCCCCCCGAGGCCGCGAGGCCGAGCAGGGACAAGCCACCCACCTATTCAAGTCGTGCTCGGAGAAGCCGGCACGAGCTTGCACCACATCGTAGATCTCAACAAACCTACGGCAGCGACAAACCTACAGCACGGAAAGGGAGAAAAAAAGCACGGGTTGAAACTTCGGGCTCGATTTCCGCCTGGCCACCAGCGGCTGGTGAGAATCTGAGGGTTGATTCGCGGTTATCTTCACTTGTGCAGAAGCCGCCGCCATTTTCCACGGTCCTTTTCGCCCATTTGCTGAATGGAAGGATCCTTCCCACGAGGCCCCCATGCCCTGGGAGAGAACAGGCAGCCGGGCTCGTCGAAGGACAGGTCCCGCACTTCTTTCTCCCCTGAGCGGTCAAAGGGCGGGCTCATGTCTTGACCGCACTGCTCCATGTTTCTAGGACACCTCATACCTCCGATGTGTGGTTTGCTCTTTGGGGCGAAGCCAGCCGAGAAAGGTGTGGTTTCTTGATTGGACCGGTTGAAATCCTTGTTAACCTGATATGCTTCACACAACCTCCTTTTGATGTCCCTATGGCGCGGTAGTTTAATCACATGTGTTGCAGCTAACCCTGGGACGCACCGTTAAACCAACACAGAGGCTCCATGCAAAGCACACGGCTTTACTTGCAGGTCAGCAGAAAAAAGTATTTCTCCTGGTAGCTAGGAATCATGCACAGGGAAAAACAAGTGGTGAAGCCCCGTATCCACACAACACGCCCTCTTCAACACACGCGCACACACACACACACACATACATACACAAGCACACTCCTGCGGTTATATACCTAAAGGCTCAAATCTATCAATCTTCGTTTGATATGCTTGGCAGGCCTTGGGGCCCCGGGACAGCCTGACAAGGACTAAAGAGGAACACGTGCAACAGAACCTGTACCGAGACAACTGTCTTACTTGGGCATTGTATGGAAAAAGGAATGAGCCCACGCATCCCCGAAAGCCCGAAAAGCCCCTGACCTGCCACTGCTGCGAACCCGAGAGCTTGTTTGGGCAGACTTTCGGCTGGGGCAAAATCCTGGCAGCCGCCAATCACTGTCAAAACTGGCAAACCTTGATCCTCGCTGGTGTTTGTACAGTCGCAAGCTTCAGCTGAATAAGAATAGACCATCTTGGATCTCACCCACACCGCGACCCGTGCTGCGTCAACCTGCGTGGTTGGCATACAAGCGAGTATGTGCATACGCACGCCTGAAACTTGATCTATATGTGCTGTGAACATAGATCAACATTCTCACAATGTATTGTGTGTGGCCGTTAGTACTGTGCTTGGATTAAATCCATTTCGCACCCACGAAAGCCTGGAATGATCTTCGATGTTCTTGGAACTTCCAAACATTACCAAACCAAGGTTCAGATTTTTGAACCATGGCAACTCCTTTAACGCGCCAGGTGCGAGACGCGGAGGTCGCTTTTCCATCCGCGTGCCTCGCCTGTGACCTCCCGGAAGATCCGCTCCACACAGCTCAGCACCGGCGTAATGCCCCGGCGGCCCAGCAGCTGGACCTCGAAGCCAGGGAAGCGAGCGCCCCAGATGTCGGGAGGCTGCTGGGTGCCGTGCCTTTACTGGGGAACCAACGGCCCTTTTCTTACTGGGGAACCAAAAGAAACAACAAAAAATGTTGGGGTTTTGGTGCGGTGTCTTTTGGAGGGTAGGCTGTTTGAAGTGTTGTTGTTTACGGGGAAACCAAAGGAACACCACCATTTTGGCTTTGGAGATCCCTAAAACAAGCCCGGGCGGCATCCCCAACAGCAACCCCTAGCTTGTCTGGGGGAGAAAAGCTTTCAGCTGTTGGGCAAAAAAAGACAAACCCAGATTGAAAATGGAAGTTTCTCAAATGGTGGATCCCCTTGTTGGTGTTTGAAGGGAAGCCAAAAGGAAACAATGTATCTTACGGGACTCCAAGCAAAGGATCCAGGTCCTGCAAAAGGAAGCGTAACTTCGCTTGGAAAGTTCAAACACTCGAATCATGATCAAACCTGGTCAACGGGTATGCCCCAAGACCAAAGCGAGAGGATATCCGCACCTTCACTTACCCGAATCGGTTTTTATTGACTTGATACTTTGCCGAGTCTCCGCTGAAATTGCAGGTCAAGTTTGCCGGGATATACCGAATCATACCGACAGGATATCCGCACCTTCACTTACCCGAATCGGTTTTTATTGACTTGATACTTTGCCGAGTCTCCGCTGAAATTGCAGGTCAAGTTTGCCGGGATATACCGAATCATACCGACAGGATATCCGCACCTTCACTTACCCGAATCGGTTTTTATTGACTTGATACTTTGCCGAGTCTCCGCTGAAATTGCAGGTCAAGTTTGCCGGGATATACCGAATCATACCGACAGGATATCCGCACCTTCACTTACCCGAATCGGTTTTTATTGACTTGATACTTTGCCGAGTCTCCGCTGAAATTGCAGGTCAAGTTTGCCGGATTACCGAATCCATACCGATGGATATTCCGCACCTTTCCCGTTTCCTCGTATCGGTTTATTATTGACTTGTTTCTTTGCCGTGGTCTTCCGCTGAAATGGCGGTCAAGTTGCCGGGATATACCGATCATACCGAACAGGAATATCCGCACCTTCACTTCCCCGAACGGTTTTTTAATGACTTGATACTTTGCCGAGTCTCCGCTGAAATTGCAGGTCAAGTTTGCCGGGATATACCGAATCATACCGACAGGATATCCGCACCTTCACTTACCCGAATCGGTTTTTTTTGACTTGATACTTTGCCGAGTCTCCGCTGAAATTGCAGGTCAAGTTTGCCGGGATATACCGAATCATACCGACAGGATATCCGCACCTTCACTTACCCGAATCGGTTTTTATCGACTTGATACTTTGCCGAGTCTCCGCTGAAATTGCAGGTCAAGTTTGCCGGGATATACCGAATCATACCGACAGGATATCCGCACCTTCACGTACCCGAATCGGTTTTTATTGACTTGATACTTTGCCGAGTCTCCGCTGAAATTGCAGGTCAAGTTTGCCGGGATATACCGAATCATACCGACAGGATATCCGCACCTTCACTTACCCGAATCGGTTTTTATAGACTTGATACTTTGCCGAGTCTCCGCTGAAATTGCAGGTCAAGTTTGCCGGGATATACCGAATCATACCGACAGGATATCCGCACCTTCACGTACCCGAATCGGTTTTTATTGACTTGATACTTTGCCGAGTCTCCGCTGAAATTGCAGGTCAAGTTTGCCGGGATATACCGAATCATACCGACAGGATATCCGCACCTTCACTTACCCGAATCTGTTTTTTATTGACTTGATACTTTGCCGAGCCTCCGCTGAAATTCCAGGTCAAGTTTGCCGGGATATACCGAATCATACCGACAGGATATCCGCACCTTCACTTACCCGAATCGGTTTTTATTGACTTGATACTTTGCCGAGCCTCCGCTGAAATTGCAGGTCAAGTTTGCCGGGATATACCGAATCATACCGACAATAATCCCCGCAAGGACTGTGTGCCTACCCAAAATTGCCCAAAGCACGGTACTACAAGGGTCGATGTAAAGAACTTGAAGGGCGGCGGCACCAACTTCCGGCTGTGGTTCGCTTGCCCCGTGAAAGGCACTATATAAAATTTGGCCCCTCCTCATGTGGCTACCCTGGCCATGCGCTTTGGGGCGCCAAAAGGAAATCCACAGGCCAGGAATTCCGCACTTGGGGGAAGGTGGCATCACAGAAGCGAGAGAGGGAGAGACCAACTTTCGCAACCCTCCTCCAGCCCGCAGGTCCAGAATTTGACATTTCCAGAACCCTGAAGACCAAAATCCGCCGACATTGCTCGGCGTGTCGGATACTTACTAGAGGATAGAGGATAACCCCCCCCCTAACCCCCCCCCGCCCGACGTCTATTACGTAGGTTTTTGGGCGGGGGGGGGGGG